TAGATAAGGCAGGGACAGGAAGTGCAGTTATCGCTGTTCTCATGGAGAATTATCCCTGATCTCACTCCTGATCTCTCTGGGAGCTGAGTTTTCCTTAGGGTGCTTTGGGGAACCATGCCAAGGTTGCCATTGTCCTTCTCCAACACGTCATGTGAGAGCTTGCTCTGCTGCAGTGGGGCTCGGCCTCTGCCTCCCCCATCCCATGGGTGAGCCCGTCTTTGTGCCGCTGACACCGTGGCCGTGCCGTGGTCCTTGCTCAGCACTTGTGTGTGGGTTCACGTGCCGGGAGGCGGTTGGCTCGCGAGCTAAACGAGGCCAGTGTGCCGGGAGCAGTCGCCACCTTCGAGCCGTGTCTGCTGCCTTTACTGTAAACGTGTTCCTGTGGTCTGGTGGCGAGACCACGTCCGCTCGCACCCAGCGCCTCCCACCAGCACCAAATGAGCCTCGGTCCTGCTCATTTCTGGAAGGGGGGTGCCCAGAAGCACCGACCCAAGGGTTTGGATGGAGACGGGGTTTGTTTCTTGCTGAGCTCGTGCAGCTCCTGGCTGAGCATCAGAGGTTTCGGTACCACTTGTGCCGGTGTGAAGCAGACACCACAACATCTAATGCCTCCTGCTTCTCTTGCAGCTTGGACGGCGGGGAGCTCTTCAGCAGAATTCAGGACAGGGGAGACCAGGCCTTCACAGAACGGGGTATGGAGCCCACTGGGATCTGGAGTTTTGTCTGTGGACCATGTCTTCATGTTTGTAGGAGTGTCTCTGGTTCAGCCCGTTCTCTCAGCCGCTGTTCTGAATCCCCAGCAAGGTTTTGCACATGGGCAATGAGGAGTGTGGGTGTGAGTGGCTCTGCTTTGCATGCTCACTTCAGAGCTGGGTTAGGGGATGTTTTCTCAGCTGCCCCTGAGCCCCATCCATCCCACTGCAGCGTATGCAGGAGCTTCAGTGCTCTCCAGAAACACCTCCCTGCCTCGAAAGATGAAGTCCAGGGGCTGAGGTTCTCATAGATCTCATCCACCTCTGCTCTTGTGTCCAGAAAAAGTGTCTGCACAGCCGAATCCCTGAGCTTGTTGCTCCCTTGGCTTCCCATCCTATGGGGAAAGCTTTCCCAGCTGATTTCCCTGCAGAGTTGGGGTCCCCAGTGGTGCTGGGGGCTGGGTCAGCCTCCCAACCCTGGAGCAAACCCCTCCTTGGGGCTCATGCTGTTGGCTATGGGGGGTCAGGGATGGAGTCTGCCCCATCCCTTCCCATGGGAGTTTCTCTCCCATTTGCTGCAGGCTCCTGACCGAGGGATGGGTGCTGTGGGGTGCTTTGCTTGGAAAGGTTTCCTCTGCTTCAAGTAGAGGAAACCCCTTTGGCCTCAACCAGCCTGTATGGCCTCCGGGTGTGGAGTGGTGCTTGTTTTGCTTATAAAGGCTGCTGATGTTTGGCTTGTTGGGGTTTTCTTTGACTTCAGAGGCTTCAGAGATAATGAAGAGCATTGGGGAAGCCATCCAGTACCTGCACTCGATCAACATTGCGCACCGGGATGTGAAGGTACCATGCTGCACGCTTACCTGGCGGTGCTGAGCCCTGCTTGGCCTCAGGCAGTGCCCAACCTGCTCCAGGTCTTCTGCTCACCTCATCTTCATTGTGTTTCCACAGCCGGAAAACCTCTTGTACACGTCCAAAAGGCCCAACGCTGTGCTAAAACTCACGGACTTTGGCTTTGCTAAAGAAACCACCACGCACAACTCCTTGGCCACGCCGTGCTACACGCCATACTACGTGGGTAAGTGGCTGGGGGAGGTCTGAGCTTGTAGGTTTGCAGGGCTGGAGGAGGTTTGGATGGTGCAATGTGCAGCCCATCACCTCTGCATCCAGGCTGGAGCCTTAATCACAGCGTGGTGTTGGGGGCAACTCCTGTGTGGGCTGCTTGGGACTGGCTGCTGCAGGGGTTTGGTGCTCGCTGGTGCATGCAGCCTGCAGCTCCTGCCTCTGCTGCCTGCATGGCCACGCTGCAGCTCCATGGGTTGTTCAGGTCCCTCTCTCCTGGTGCTGCCACTTAGACTCAGGACTTTGTTTCTCTCTTTACCAGCCCCGGAGGTGCTGGGCCCAGAGAAGTACGACAAGTCCTGTGACATGTGGTCCCTTGGAGTCATCATGTACATTCTGTAAGTCCAGTGGGTCCTTCTCCATCCTGCTGTGGTCAAGGAGGGATGGAGCTTCCAAGCTGGCTGCTGGGGCTGAGCCTTTCCCAGCTGTGCTGTTTCTGCTTCCAGCACTGCCCCATGCCCCATGGATGCTGTGGGGAGGCTTTTGGAACGACATGTTGACTCTCTGCTCCCTCTCCTGGTGCAGGCTCTGCGGGTACCCCCCTTTCTACTCCAACCACGGCCTGGCCATCTCACCTGGCATGAAGAAGCGAATCCGAATGGGCCAGTACGAGTTTCCCAATCCTGAGTGGTCCGAAGTGTCAGAGGAAGGTAAACACAGTCCCCAAGCTGAGGTGTCCCTTTGGGGTCAGCCCTGATCCAGCAGCGATGGGAAGCCTGGGCATGTCATCGGTCACCTCTTGGTGAAGCAACAGCTCCACCTCTTTGCTTCAGGGGCTTTTGCTGAAGGGTTTGATCAGGGTGAGCTCTGTGGCATGGAGGAGATGGGAGGTGCGTGGTGGCGTTTTGGGGCTGCTGGTTCAGGTTTGGAGCACGGGGACCTGCTGATGCACAAACCCTTGCAGTTAAGCAGCTGATCCGCAACCTGCTGAAGACGGACCCGACCCAGCGCATGACAATAACAGAGTTCATGAACCACCCCTGGATCATGGTGAGTGTGGGGTTGGCGAGGATGGGGATGGGATGGGAATGGGGTGGGGATGAGGATGGGGATGGAGCAGGGATAGGATGGAATGCCTGTGGCTCCCAGCTCACACTCCTCCACTCTCTTTACAGCAATCCATGCAGGTGCCCCAGACCCCGCTGCACACCAGTCGTGTGCTGAAAGAGGAGAAGGATCTGTGGGAGGATGTGAAGGTAAAACCTCTCTCTTGCCATCTGAAACACTCTGCACCCCGGGTACCGCATGGGGACTGTCCGCTTCTGCCTTCTCATTGCAAGCCGGGCTCGTTTGGGCTCAGTGCATCCTGGGGAGATCAGTTCTTGGGAGGGGGCTGGCAAAGTTGGCAGTGGAGCATTCGGCCCCCGCTGCAGCCCGTTCCCATGGCGGGGGGGATAAGCTGTCCTGGGGATCCTGGAGGGCTGTGCCCGTGCAGGGCTTTGCTGATGGGGCTGCCTCCCGCCCGCAGGAGGAGATGACGAGCGCGTTGGCCACCATGCGAGTGGACTACGAACAGATCAAGATCAAGAAGATCGAAGATTCCTCCAACCCTTTGCTGATGAAGAGGCGGAAGAAAGCAAACCCCACGGAGCCTGCTGCGCTGCCCCACTGAGGGTGCCCCGCACCCGCCTGCCCTCCACAAAGCAATAACTATATATATATATTTTTTAAGGAAAACACAAAAAAAGACTGTTCTATGAGCGCATGGAATTCAGACCTTTATACCAGACTAGTTATTTTTAGCTACTCACCTGTGCTTCTGACCTTCCTGGTAAGATTCCCCCCAAATCAGATCCACACGCTGCGGCCGGGGGTTTGTCCTGTAGGTGGGATACGGCCGGTAATTGGAGTTTATCTTCTGTTGTGAAACGGTTTTGATGATGATTTTCTTTCTCTTCCTTCCTCCCCAAAGACCTGACAATTCCTGTGGTGACCTTTTTAGGGTATAGAACTATAAATATTTTTTAAAAACTACTGTAGAGCTGAGAGACAGCGTGTTCCCTGTGTGGATGCTGGCTAGAGATGGGCTTCAGGCTTGGGAGTGGGATGGGGAAGGAGAGCTGCCTTCTCCCCCGTCCTGCTGTGCATGGCAGGGCTGGCGTGGGGGGGTCCCCGTGGCCACCGTGCTGCTTTGCTGGCCTGGAAAACTGCTGCTTTTAAAGCGTGGTAGCCAAAAATCACCCACCTCCCTGACCTGGAAGCCTTGACTCCCCGCGAGCGCCGTCCGTGTCACTGTCTGTCTGTGCTGGGGTGTGTGTTGTAGAGCTGCTCATGGCCACCAAGTCTGTACCTGTGCCTGGAATCCAGTTCTGACCTCAGGGGTGGGCAGGCGGGGTGAGCAGGAGGCCAGTGCCACATCCCCTCCTTGCTCCGCAGGGATCTGGGGGAAAGATGCTTCCCGGCCACATCTGCCTGCTCCCGCATCCCTCAGCTCCGGGGAGATGCTGTCCTGGGACAAGTGGGTGGCTTGGAGAGGTGGTGGAGACAATGTGGGGCCATAGCTTGAGCTGGGGCAGCAGCAGTGCCCCATCCCTAAAAAAAAAGGGCATCAGCAGTGCCCCATCCCTGGCGGGAGCTGGGGGCCCTGCGGCCCCGCTGCTGTAGCTCTGTCCCTGCCACCAGCTCCCCAGGGCTTTGGGAGTGATGCTCTGCTCCCAGGAGCAGGATGGCTGCTCGGGAGTCTTTAATCCATGAATTATTATTATTATAATTATTATTTGTCACGATGTTTCACTGTGTTAAATGTGTTTGAATGGGGAAAAACCAAAAACCAAACTTTTTTAAGGCGATGTTTTAGTTTTTAGGTGATCTTTTAGACACTGTACGGAATTGGAATTTGCTTTAAAAACTGGGGTTTATCCTTTTTTTTTTCCTTTTTTTAATTTTATTTTTGTCTGTTGGCTTATACTAATCTTCCCAGTCTGCTCTTCAGTCCTTTGGATTAAAGACACTTAATGCGTCACCCGGTCTCTCCTCCTTGCTTGTGTGGCTGTGAAGGAACAGCTCCTGGTGCTCCAGGCTGGTGGTTGCTCTCCTTGATGGCTTGAAGTTGCTTTTTACCTCTACCCAAGGTTGTTCTCTGGGGATGCAGCACTTCGGTCCTTGCACAATCCCTTTGCTTGGGGATGGTCGATTGAGATGTGCCTGTGCCTGTAGTTTCCTCCCCGTCCTGGGCTGGTTTTGGGGATGTGGGATGCAGGATGTGACCGTGGCCATGGGTGCTGCGCCCGGGTGCCGGCAGGGGGAACTGTGCATCCGGCTGTGGGTGCTTGCTGCAGAGGACTGGTCCCTGCTGTCACCTCTGTGCTGGCAGCCCTGCGGTGCTGCGCTGGGGTTTAGGCTGCTGGGAGCTGCTGGTACCAGTGGTGGCCATGGGTGCTTGAGCCCAGAACGCCCCCTGTGCTGGGCTGCACCCCCAGAGCGTGAGCAGCAGGTCAGGGAGGGGGTTCTCCCCCTCTGCTGTGCTCTGGGGAGACCCCCCCTGCAGCCCTGATCCAGCTCTGGGGCAAAAACACAAGAGGGACGTGGAGCTGCTGGAGTGAGGCCAGAGGAGGCCCCGGAGCTGCTGCGAGGGCTGGGGTAGAG